GTAAGAGGGCAATTAGCTGCATTCGGAACGTTATCAGATTTCGCTAATGTACAATTATTGAATTCCGAATTATGCTTAAAACATAACACACTCGTGGGTTTAGTAGAATTTCTATTTTGTGACGTATTTGGTATCTACTTGTTTGTATTTTTTTTTTTTTTTTTTTTTTTTTAGACAATATGCAAAAATATATTAGCTTAAAAACTCGAGCGGAACTCACACGCAAGAGTTTTTCTTCGCGCAATTTCGAAGAAAGATGCGTTGCGATTTTTCTCGCTGTGTAAATAATTTCCCGCTCGTGCGAATACTTTTTAAAATTTTAAAGCACGTCATTAGCGATTCATATATTCGCGCGCGAGAGGAACGACCGTACAAGAATGAATACTAAATATCGAGCGCGTAAAAATATCGACGCGATCGCCATCGACGACGGTGGTTATATTTTCCACGAAAACGGGGGAATGCATGCGAGACGTAGCTCGCGCTTTCACGCTTTTCCGAGAGCTTTCACGACAGCCGCGCCGACCAAGTCGCTCGCAAACCACACCGAATGCACCCCCTCCCCCTACTACTACTACTACTACTGTACGTTCTTCCCCTTTCTCTCCCCCATCAACCCCTTTTCGTGTTCCCGAGGGTTCGTGCCATGCTCCGATGCTTTCACACACACACGCGCGCGCGCGCGCGCGCACATGCACACGAATATTCCAAGTCGTAGGAGATCGGAGCGGCTCTTGAGAGCGCGACTGTATTATCGAGGGATGCGAGTCGCGTGTCGATGGCATGCCTTCGTGGCTCCAAAGACGACGGAGCATGGCGATGAAATTCGAGAGGGATATCGAAAGCTCCCACGGAGCTGGCGGACTTGGTCGGATACTTGAGGTGGTAAAAGCGCGAAGAAACGTGAAGAACACATCAAACTTTGCGCGAAAAGTATCATCTCCATCTCGTATATTTACAAAAGTTTAAATCGCGCGCGATGATTGTCGCGCGAACAGATCAAAGATCAGATGAGAGAACAATTAGATCACATTTGGTGTACAGCGGAAATATATAGCGAGATAAGAGAAAAAAAAATAGCCATGGTGTTCGCGAAAACGAATGAAGCGCATCAAATGCGCGGCACGCACCGTCGTGTCGGGACTCGCGAGGCGTTGCTGGGACGTTACGTACGACCTGACTCAACGAGCTTCTTTCAGGAAACATCAGCGACTCGCAATACATCACCTACATGACAAGTAAGTACAAACAACGCTCACTCTCTTGGGGTGGTTAGCGCGGGAGGAGGAGGAGGAGAAGGTGGTGGGCCGGCCGATGTTATCCGCGCGGCCAACATCTAGGGCACCGCGCTCGCGCACACGTGAACCAAGTGTTGTAACGAGCGCGCGGTTCGTACGTATGTACGCGCGGGCTCTCTAGTTGGCAAAAATACATGCACGGCGCGCGAGGGAGGAACGAGGTCAGAGAAGAAGTGGACCTCGCGCGCACGTAACATCGATCAGGGTTCGGAACAGAGGAAGCGAGAGAGAAAGAGATAGAGAAAACACGCCGCTCGCGCGGGCTGTGTTAAATCGGCTCGTGTTTTCGAGGTACGGACTACTCAATTTCGGAGGTATCCGCCGCGGTATCTAAATTTCAAATCCGCTAATGTGTATTTTTGCCCCGCTACCGGGTTTAATAGCTCGCTCTTTTTTTTTTTTTCTTTTTGTTCTGTTTTGCCGCTCTCTTGTTTCTATCTGTCCGTCTCGTTCCTCCCTCGTGTTATCGGCCCGGCTTCGCCCGGGAACGCTTTGAATTTCAAATTCCGCGCGACCACACCGTGTCGGCCGCGCGCGGACGGGGCAACAACAACCCGACTTTCGAGTGTTTCCCACCCGCTTATGCGCGCTGTCATTTGTTTCCGTCGCCCCGACCGAGGGGCGGAGGGGAGGGCTTTACGTAACAGAGAGACACGCGCGATCTACGGTCGCGTCGGTATCTCTCTGTGGTGTGTGCTCGCCGCACTTTTATTTATGGCGCCACCCGGTATGTATCAGAATTGATTCTGTGATTTATTTCGCGGCCGATAGCGCGTCGCGCGGCCGACGCGGAAAAGACGAATTTCGAGACCTCGTTTCTTCTCGAAATCTTCTTCGCTTCTCTCTCTCGCGACGCTCGCGTGCGACGAAACGATTTCAACCGTCCGTCTTGCGCGGAACGATTTCTACGGTTCTCTTTCGGTTCACGCATATAATAGTCGACGTCAAGTAACGAGAACAAGCGAGAAGAAAAAAAGAGAGAGAGAGAGAGAGAGAGAGAGAGAGAGAGAGAGAGAAAGAGAGAGAGAGAGAGACCGTCTTTTCCTAAGGGAAAATAACACATTCGAACGCATTAAGCTAATGCGCCGCTTTAACGGCAATGTAACTCCGACGTTATCGTCGACTAATCTTCTGCCGGCAATATCTTTTAACGGTTCTTACCGGTCTTCTTAATGCACGGGACTTTGCACCTAATTGCACGCTACGGGCCGACGATCGCGAAAGTTCCTGCGCGTGTTGCTCGCGCGAGTAAACGCGCACCGCCGGCAAGAAAGTCTCCTCCCTCCTCCGGGGGATAAGGTAGAGATGAAAGATGCGGGGAGATGCGGGGGGGCGAGGCACGACCCCCGGACTAATTGAAGCGCAATTAACCGCGTTAAAACGTCAACGTGCTGATTAGGGCGCTACTCCGTGCGGTGGGACGGGGGGCGACCTACTAATCTATGCGCATACGTGACGCGGTGGGTTCTTGCGTAAATTGAAAGTCGTCCTTGCCCTCTCATCGCGCTCGGCAAGAGTGCACTCGACCGCCGAAATTCGCCGAGGCACATTACCCTTCATCTCCCGTGACCCTCGACGTCGTTAAGTGCCCGTCTATGGGTTTCTAAACGATAGGGAGAAGAAACGAGGGGGAATGGGAATTCGCGCGCAACGACGAAAATGAATTTTATCGATGTACAGGAGAGGAGAATGCGAGAGATGCAAACGCCCGCGAAACGAAAACGACGACGAAACGCGCCTGCTTACAAATTAAACGCGCGAAATTTATCACGCCATTATTTTGCCATTATATTTTTAATTACTGATGAAATTAAATAAAAATAACATTGCGCAGCGACGCTGCCGAAAACAAAACATAGAAAGCTTGATTACAAAAAAAAAAAAAAAAAAAAAGCCAGTTTCGATGTGGAAATACAACCGGGTAGTATTTTTTTAGCAGAATAAAAATATTTGTTTATTACGTACATATGTGTTGACGTCTCGTACCATCAAATATTTTGCAGAGAAGCCGCATGGAAACATTATTTTTGAGTTAATATTGGATACCCGGAACATGAAATCTTCATGAAATCTCTCGCACATTCTTCTCGCGGTATCAGATCGCCGCCGGTATTCGCAAATACTCGCGCGAACACAAAATTGTTGCACATGACATTTATATAAAATTAGACTCCAAGTTGGGGGAAAAAAAAAACAAAAAAAAAACAAAAATGAAAAAAAAACCATTTCGCTTCTCTTCGAGCGAAAAAAACATTTCCGGTATAAGTTCTATTTGTGGACATTTGTGTTTCGGGGATTGGATAATTGAAAAACGATCTCTCGAACGCTCGCGCAATAAAGCTTCGTGAATATTCACAAGTCCGCCGAATTGAGGGGATCCTCCCTCCCGCTGGGACTTCGATTGTTCTCGGCGGGCGTCGCAAGAAGCGTCGTCGGGACACTCGGAGAAACGTCGCCAAGAAACGTTAATTGCGCCGGAGATGTCGTCGTCGGGAAGCGCGCGATTTTATACAATGGGTCGAAGGGGTCGTAGTGGCGGCGAATCGCGTTGGTCGAATTCGACCGGCGATGCGTCAAGTGTGTGGGGTGAGGCGAGGAGGGTGACGATCGCGGAGAGAGAGAGGGCGGTACCTACCTACTTATTTAGAATATTGTCGGCATACATCTGCATAAATTCAGCGCAGGCCCGTCGACATGCCCGCCAACTCCCGGACTTATATACTCGCACGCTCTTAGAACAGAAGAGCCGACACGACCGGAGGGAAAGAGAGAGGGTTGCGCGAGGTCTCTCCCCCAACCACTCGCCATCAGCATCCCGTCGCTCGTAAAGAAACCCCTCGTGACGCGGCTGAAAGCTCTCTCGCCCCTCCTCTCTCCAGAGAAGCTTCGCGCGAAAGGGGAAAAAATAAAAATTCGAGACGCGTCGCGCATTATAGAAATATCTTCGACGTGCGGGCGTGTATTATCGCGCGAGAGAGATTAAAGTATCTCCGACGAACGTGCTCCCGGTAACCGATGATCCATCCTCGACGCAAACGCGCACATCTCCCGCCTTAGAGCGAGGGAGGGTGGGCGCGCGAAACAGGAAAAGTGTGGTGAGGCATAAATGAAAAAAAAAAAAAAAAAAAAAAGAGAACGAGACACGTCGACCGCGACGTGTAGGAGCGCAACACGGAGAGAAGGATGAGTCGAACGGTAATATCTATATTACAGGGGAAGGCAAAGTCCGTTATATATGCCGCGGGAATTGTGCCCAATGGGAACGCGGGGATGTGCTGCTCTCGCCGTTCGCGCCGCAGGCCCCGTATACATATTCAAATTGAATTATACGCGCTACCAGACGCGTTGATTCGAAATCATTCGACGGCTTGGTATCTTCCCCGAAACAAGCCAGTATCGCGCGCCCTTCCCCCTCCCCCCCTGGTTCTCCCGGTCGTCAGCCGCCGCGCTTCGTTCCCGCGTGAGTTTCCGCTCCGCTACTAGAAGGGTTGTGCCGCTGTCGTTCTCTTCCCTTCTCCGTGACTAATGGAAATTCTCGGCGAGAAGTTGGTTAAACGCGGTCGCTTTGCATACGTATATTGAAATACTCGTCTGTGCCATCCCGCGCGCGCGACTTCGTGCTCTATTCGCGCAACGACGCGCGGCGGAATTCGGAAGTTGTGTCGAGAGAGGATTCGTTCGAGACATTCCGATCGGAACAGAAACGCTTGATTACGCGTTTACATATCGACGAGACGTTTTTTTTTTTTTTTTTTTGTGGGCGTGTCGAAATGCAGAGCGAATTTTAAAACCGTGAATGAAGACAGAAAGTCGCCGCGATAAAACGCGACGATGAACGATGATCTGTGCGATCCCGCCGCGGTGTTATAATATCGCGGACGCGTTCGCGTCGAGAGGCTTTACGACTTCATTCGCTCTCGCGTCGCGAAAAAAAAAGCGAGTGGATAAGAAGACGCGGGAAGAATAACGAATCTTCCGGCGCCTGTGTGGTGTCTTCCCGCGTCGTCGTGGAAATTATTCTTCTCTCCTTTCTGTTGAGCGCGCGCGCGGTCACCGTTGTTTATCTCATTAAAGGAACGTGGAAAAACGGGGGATAATCCCCGGTTGACAAATCGCGCCCGGCGTTTCTCCTCCTCTCAGGAGCGTAACTTTATCGCGGAGCGAATGAGGTGGTGACGGAAGTATCTGGCGTAGAGAGGAGGGGGTTTTTAGAGCGGAGCAAGATGGGAATAAGGGAAGTAACCGGGCACGCCGGCGGACACGAGACTCCCGCGCTGTAATGAACGCGTTTAATTTCAAAGGAGAATAAAAAAAAAAAAAACACAAAAAAAATAAAATTGCAATTTTTTCCGAGCGCGCGACGCCGGCGGTGGAACCGCGAGAGAGAGAAAGAGACAGCTTCGTTAGTTGTGTCAGTCATGTCGAAAAAAATATCGCGATTCAATTAAAAAAGTATCGCGTATACAGACGCGTCGTCCCGTATTAAAATGTTGATACGACACGGTACGGTTGACGTTTAACAACTGGCATCGCGTTGTTTTTAACAAGCAGAAGACAAGCAAAGACAATTTTTCCGCGCTCGTTGTGCTTAATTAGTTGCGCGCGAAGCGGCTAAAAGCATTAAACATTTTCGCGAAGACGCGTTTCTTTTTTTTTCCTTTTTTGCGTACGTGCGCGTTTACTTCAGAAAACAAATTGTTTTTTTCTTATCGACGACCCGATATAAAAATAAAAACTAGACGAGATCCGATAATGTTCTTGGCGCGCGATCCATTTTCGCGAATTAATTTAAATATTCGCACTAATACTCGTGTAAAAATCTCATTTTCTCTCGTCGGAGAAAATATTCCGGTCTCTTCCGCGAACATATCGCAGAGTAGGTCGTTTAACTCGGGGTCGTAACTTCGCCTCGTTCATTCTCGTTTCATTCTCTGTGTTTA